TTCCTGCCCCTTCAGGGGCGGGGGCCAGCGCTTGATGAGGACGTCCCGGCGGCTCATGGTGCGCAGCACCGAGCGGCTCACCACCACGGGCACAAACTCCGAGCCGCCTTGCTGTGGGCCGGGCGGGAGGGAAGGAGGGCACCCGTGCCCTCGCTCAGCAGGTGGGGCCTTGGTGTGGACCCCACCACCCACAGCCCAGGGCCTGACAGTGACGGGCTCCTGCCCCGCCTCGGTTGCCCCAAAATCCTTGGCCACGTCCACCAGCTGAGGGCCCTATGCGCAGAAGGCCTGAGCCACCCTCCCACTGGCTGACCGTGGTAGCCCACCGCTCGGAGGAGCGCCCCACCTCGAAGCTCAGCTTCGCCGTGAAGGGGTCGTCCTCTCCCATGGAGTCCATGGTCTCATCTAGCCGCAGAGTCTGGGTGTCTGGAAGGCTCTGGTCAAGGATGGACCCTGACACTTGGTAGAAACAGGCCCTGCCGTCCACCCACGGGGAGCCAACCCTGGGAGAGCGCAGGGGCCGCCGAACAGGTTTCCAGATGGAGGGAAGTCGGGGACACGGCCCAGTGCAGGGACCGGGGGGTGGTAGGGGAGAGCTCTGTGGACTCTGCTGTCCTCCCCCTCCCCTGCCTGCGCCGTGGCTCCCGTGGACCACCCAGCCTGAAGCCCCACGTGGGCAGAGGCCTGTCAGCTGCGTGTGGACCAGAAAGGCTGGGCCTGGAGGGTCCTGGAGGAACACTCAGTGTCACCGCGTGGGCTGCAGGCCGGGCTTCACGGAGCAGGACGGCTCCTGGCCCCTCAGACCCTGAGGGGGGCCAGACTAGCCCGGAGGGCCCTGGACCCTTCTCCTCCAGCTCAGGTGGATGAGCCCCCCTGAAGAGAAGCAGGCGGAACTCTCCCAGGAGAAGGCCCCAGGGGTCATCCACAGGCCAGCCCCCCTGGACGAGTGAGTGCCTACAGTGTGGCCGGCAGACTGCCTCCATCCACAGCCAACGGCTCCAGGGGTTCCTCCCTCTCTACTCCTTGGAATGTGGCCCAGGGCCCAGGGGCGACACCTAGGGCCTTGCTGGAAATGCAGACCCTCAGCCCACTGGGCCTGCTGATGGCCCTGGACATGACATGCCTCTCCCGTAGCTGGGCGGCAAGCGCTGGCCCCAGGCCTGGACCATGAGTACAGTCCACCCTCCTGGCCAGAGGGGTGAGCCGAGGTGGGGCCATGGCCAAGTGGTCCCGACAAGGTAGCCCTGGGGTCTGCATTAAGAGTCAATGCTTCTGGGCTGCGGGGCTGATGGGGGCCGGGACGGGCAGTGCTGGTAGGCGCTTCTGTCCCTGCGCACGGGGACAAGGTGGTGCTGCCTGAGAAGGATGCCACTCGGAGGACCGGAGAGCCAGGAGGACCAGAGCAGGCTCCGCCACCCTGTGAAGCAGGTCCCAGACCCCCTGTGCTTACCCTGTGGCTGGGCTCCCCCACCCTGCGAAGCAGGCCCCAGACCCTCGCGCTTACCCTGTGGCTGGGCTCCCCCACACCCATTTGCCGGCTCAGCCCTCTGAGCTGTGGTTTCTGTCACTTGCAAGTGATCTGACCAGAAGGGCAGGGTCAATAAGGACACCATGTACTGCTGGCCCTGACCAGCTGGGAGTGGCCAGAGCACGGCCCCCATTGGGAGGCCCCATGGGGACGAGGCACAGGAAGACAGAGGCGGCAGGTGCCACGTGCCACTTGTGGGCCTGGGCCTGCCCTGGCCAGCCCTCTGGCCATCCCGTGCTGCCCTGGCACAGCCTGTCTCAGGATACCGCTGCCCATGGTCTCCTGCCACTTGCTCTCCCGCGTGTGCCGGGGCATCTCCAGGTCGATGAGGGCGACAGCCTCTTCATCCGTGATCCCCTCCTCCAGGTGGAACTCCACCAAGTGCAGCACCTCTGGGGGCACAGGGAGCGGGCGGCCTCACGGAGCGTCCGCGGGGAGGTGCTCACAGGACGCCTGGTCTGTGCATGTGCGAGGGGTGGGGCAAGCACACAGAACGCGTGGGCCGCTGAGGGCCTCCTCTCTGAGGGGACAGGCCCACGCCCAGTCCCTGGGCAGGGGTAGCAGGCTCCAGGCCTGAGTGCACGGCCAGCAGCCCCACTCCAGGGTGTCCTGAGTGCAGGACCCCACGCCGGGCTGAGGGGGTCTCAGGTCTGGGGACCCGACGGTGCCTGTGTCAGCAGGGCGTGCCACAGCGCGCCGACTGCCTGCCGGCCAGGGACTCACCGTAGGAGGAGGCGGAGAAGACGAAGGGCTGGCGGCAGTTGATGCAGACGTTGCCCAGGTTGTTGAGCAGGGGGTTGTTGGTGGAGCAGCGGTAGCACAAGGGCACCAGCTCCTGCGGAACACCGAGGGCCACGCCAGCAATGGGCATGCGCCCTCCCAGGGCCTGGCTGGGCGGCCATCCTGGCGGGCGGGGAGGGGTCTCTGGGCCTGGGGCTCCCAACTGTGGCAAAGCAGGACAGGGGCCTACAGAGACACCCACAGCTGTCACCTGCCCGGACATTCAGACAGTGCTCGGCAGGACCGCTGACCGGGCAGGAAGGGCAGTAACGCACCGGGCCAGCACACGCAGTGGCGGCTAAGGGGGCGATGGCCGACCCCGGGGCTGGAGTCCTAGACCTGGACACACATGTGCATGTGGCCAAAATCCCGAAAGGAGGGAGAGATGCAGAAGGGACTGTAGCGTGACCATCTCCCTGGAGGGTGCTTTCTCAATTTCCCTCTCTGTCTCTGCTGAGCACCATGCCCTTGCGCAAATTAAAAAATAAATAATATAGTAGTACTACTACTACTAAACATGGCTGCCATAGGCTGGGCTGAGCACACACTGAAGCAGTGTCCTCACTCACAGAGGGGGCACTGAGGCGCAAGGAAAGGGAGACCTGGCTAGGAGGCGGTGGAGCTGGGATCCAAGCCCAGGGCCGTGCGAGGCCGCCCCGCCTGAGCCTGAAGGAGGGACTGGGAAAGAGCTGCTGGCTGGGCCGGGGCTGCCAGGGAGCTGGGACAGGGGAGGGCGCCCAGGACGGGGGGACGGCGTCA